CACTTCGGACGGCCATGATGATCATGATGAACACGATACTGAGCACGATGATACTGAGCATGACGACAGCACCGCAGACGACGGAGAGTCTATACGCATCATGCTCCGCCGCTCAAGATACCTTGACTCGATAGCTCGTCCGCACGAAGTGGGAAACCCCCGTCATAGATGGAGCATGAGCTCGTGGGACTCTTCCTTCCAGGGACATCCGCCACAGGGCGAAGCAGAAGCTGTGTCTGACCTCGGACAGGAGGATGAAGCCCTGACTAAAAATCAGGAACAGGAAGATAGCTGTGAGAGCTCCCACTCATTGCACGAAAACGCGACGACTCCACAGCCGATCTTCCCGCCGTCTCCACCTTGTGAGGCCGACGAGGTACACAACCCTGGCATATCCCCCATCAAGCAGCAGCAGCAGCAGCAACAGCAGCTTCATGAACATCATCATGACGTCGACGATGACAGCAGCGAGTCTCCTGTGCTAGGGAACGATGATCATGCTGTCATTGCGTCCCTCGAACGGCGGTTTAGCATGAACATGGCCAACCACTACACTACCATCGCCAAACGGGCCCGCTGGGACTCCAAACGAGCTACTCAATTGTATCTTCAGGAGCTGGCAAAGGCTGGCTACGAACGCCCCCGGGTACCGATCCTGACGCCCGGAAGCAGCGAGAGTGAAGGGAAGAGGCTCTCCGCTCACGACAGCGTAAGTAGAGGCACTGATGACGGAGACGGCGAAGACGGCGTCCTGGTGGCAGACTCTTCAACAATACCTACTGCTGAGTTCTTGCCGGCCCGAGCAAGCCTGCATCTGCGAGATGATTGGGAGACATCACCCTCTATCGCGGACTGGATGCATCTGGCTGCCGGCGAGGACGAGATGCAGCCGCCTCAGTCGCAGCCTCAGTCTCAGTCTCAGTCTCAGCAGCAACCACATCTTCCCCAGCCTGAGCATGAATACCAACAACACCAGCGCCAGGCCACAGACGCCACGGAGATTCCTCATCCTGCGACCTCTACTTCAACCTCCTCACCAGAATCCCCATCTGCCTCAGACCAAGAGGGCGCTGAAACCCCTCGGATCGCTGGACCACCTCAGTTCGCCTCCATTGACGGGACCGTTGAGGGACTAGGACTCGAGATCCGTGTCCAGTCACCACCAGATGGAGACTCCCCTACTATACCGTCACCGTTCCATATGCACCTCCCCGTACCCTCGCAGCCTCATCATCCACCGCCTCCTCCCCCTGTTACTTCTTCGACCTCAACCGCTGCCGTGGAAGATCAACACCACCAGCACCAGCACCACGCTGTTAGCGTCGAGGTATCTCCCAGCGTATACGCTAACTCTCCCCCTACAAGTCCAATGCCTGCGCTACCGACGTTCCACGATGCACCGCCCAGCTGTCGAAGCGAGGACTCATCGTTACACATCACTCCTCCGCACACCATCTCCTCCTCGACCTCTCACACACAGGACAGACCGTCGTCCCTGGCACCGGAAACGACCTCTGCGTTCCACGACATACTAGACCCCGCGTCCCGTATCTCGCCTACCCCCGAAGAACGACGCCTCAAAAAACGACGGAACGTCATCAAGGAACTCGTCGACACCGAGTACACCTTCGGCCAAGACATGACTGTCGTCGTTGACATATACAAGGGTACATCGAGCTCCTGTCTCGGCCTGTCGCCAGAGGACATCAAGACCCTCTTCGGCAACTCAGAGCAAGTCGTCCAGTTCTCCATGGACTGGCAGGATGCACTAAAACAAGCCGCTAGAAGTGTCTATATTCTTCCCAAGTCTCAGCGTTGGAGTAGTAAGCGCAGTAGCAAATGTACCCAGAACAGCTCTGCGACTAGCAACAGCCCCGAGCCGCAGCAGATAGCCGACGAGGAGAATGATCGCAAGACAGCCATCGGAGAGGCATTCATGGCGAACATCGAGAGGATGGAGGCTGTTTACTCTGATTACCTGCGTAATCACGACGCAGCAAACAGGACACTCGAAGTCCTGCTGAAGAACAAGAATGTTAACATCTGGCTGAAAGAGTGTCGCGAATGGGCTGCTGACCTTACATCTGCATGGAATTTGGACTCGCTTCTCGTCAAGCCCGTCCAGCGAATCCTCAAATACCCGCTTCTTCTCACCGAGCTGCTAAGCGCAACGCCATCGGATCATCCAGACTACACTGCCATATCAAATGCCCTCACAGCCACAACCGCCATATCCGTACGCATCAACGAGATGAAGAAACGCGCCGATCTGGTCGGCCAAGTGGTAGGCAGCGGCCGGAAACGAAAAGAATCAGACGTCCGCGCCGGCCTGTCGAAAGCCTTTGGTCGACGCACTGAGAAGCTAAAACAGCATGTCGGTATCACGGAAATGTTCTCAGATAAAGAATATGATAATCTCAGCCAGCGGTTTGGAGATAATTTCTTCCAGCTGCAGGTTGTCATGCGCGATGTAGAAGGGTATCTGAGCGAGATCCAAAGCTCCATGAACAAGTTTAATGACTTTATCGTGGCCATCGAGGGATATATAACCCTCGCGCCCTCGAACTACCCCGAGCTCGAGAGTAAATGGTGTCGATTCCGGTTGGCTGTCAAGGACGTCATGACCGTCGCTCTAGTCGACCATGTAAGTCTTATTTATATAACTACTTCCCCCCCTTTTATTGAAGTTTAATGTCTAACAGCCAGGGGGTATATAGATCGCCCAAGTGCGGAAGAGCGTAATAACGCCGATGGTGACGCTATTGAAACTGCATGACGGGCCACAGCGAGTCATGCAAAAGCGTAATAAGCGACTAATGGACTATGTAAAGTACAAAGCCATCAAGGACCGAGGCGACAAGCCCGACAAGAAGATCACCGAGCAAGGAGAACAGTTTGTGGCGCTCAACATGGCGCTAAAGGATGAGCTACCGAAACTCTTATCGTTGACTGGCAAGCTAATGGAGGCTTGTTTGAACGCCTTCGTCCAGATCCAAGCCACCTGGCTGAACCTGATCCAGTCGAGGCTCGGCTACTCCATCGACAGGCTACCGCAGGACGTCAACCAGATCATCACCGATTGGTCCGGGGATTTCTCGTTCAGTGAAGCCCAGGTGCTTTCGCTGGGTGTATGCAATGGCTCGATACTCGCTGACACGGCGCTGGTGAACAATTACAGCTCCCCTCCGCCTTCGCATGGGGCGGATGCTAGCTCCTCGCGCCGTCCGTCAACGGTCAACAGTGCAACTGGCCGTACATTTTCTGGCGAGTCAGGCAACTCACCCAAGGGTTCGCATGAATTCCTCTCGCGAAGCCCAGAGAATATGATGCAGGCTCCCCCCAGTACAGGCCTCATGCAGCATGGAAACGGCTCCTATGCTTTCCCAGCATCATCCGGTTCCCGCACCAGAGCCAACTCGACATACTCCGTTAGAACACAGGACGTAACCAGCAGCCATATCCCCTCGATACCCTCGATGATAAACTCTTCTACTCGCTCCAGCGTCACAGCTCAAAGCGGTAGCAACGCCTCGTTCCGAACATCAGACGCTTCTCCCAAACTGCCTCTTCTCTCCCTCGATACCCCCCGTCTCGAATTCTTCCCCGACCACCTCATGAGCAGTAGCAGGTACAACGTCAATGTCAACGGTAGCAGTAACTCCAACAATCGCAACAGCAATCACCATGTTGCTCCTGATCCAGCCGACCATCCCTCCTCTCCCTCTGCAACGCGGTACTCAGGCTTCTTCTCCTCCGCCATGCCTATGGCCGAGAACCCGGAGCCACCATCACGTTTCCATTCTCACGCCAGCGTCCCCATGAACCGCAGCGTAAGTGCCGGCGCCAGTAGCCATGCAAGCTACCCCTCGGCATCAAAGGAACCTTCCATCCTGTTTCTGGCCGCCAGCATGTTTGAATTCAATATCGATCGAGCCAGACGAGAAGCAGGCTATCCGTACCTGACCTATGTGGCCGGTGAGATCTTCGACGTCATAGGCGAGAAGGGTGATCTGTGGCTTGCTCGGAACCAAGACGATCCCACGCATCAGGTCGGCTGGATATGGACGAAGCACTTCGCCAAATTGGCAAGCTGACAATAAAAGCAAAACCGAAAGGAAAAGAAAAAGGCCATATCAATGATTTATATCTATCGTTATGTTTTCCTATTTGATCTTTGACCCAGATATATCCCTGTCTATCCCTGAGACGAACCCATTTCCTTTATATCTTTTTCTCTCTTGTCTTATCTTGCCTATTTGTCTCGTCTATCATCTCCTTTGTTATTTGGGCGATAACTTTGAACTCACAGCATGTTTCTCTCCTTTTTTTTTGTCTGTCAGTTTGCTTCCACATCCTTATATCCTAGCCGTATCATTTTTGTCTTATTTGTTTCCTTTTTTCTCGATGGTGACTATGGTATTGGGCGGGTTTGGAGGGGGCATCCTATATCTTCACAGCTGCAACTTGACTACATATACCCGGCGCCCGGAATATACACAAACAACAACAACGACTACTACTACTACTACTACTACTACTACTACTACTACTACTACTACTACTACAAACACGAATACTACTACATCTACAACCTACTCTACAACTACAAGAAAGGGAAATAACTATGCAGCTAGCTATAACCTTCGAGCTCAGTAAGAAGAAGAAGCAGGAAAACGAGACGAGTCAGCCAACCCATCCTTAAATTCCTCCCCTTTTTTCTCGTTCGACTTTTATCTTTCCCTTCTGTCTTCATCTTTAGGGCATGCCCAACGCTGCTATACTTGTTTTAAATCGCTGCTACTGATACCTTCCATGTAAATCTAGATTAAATCTTCTTCATCTTCATCTTCATCTTCTTTTACTCCTTTTTTATGCCAAGAACTATGACTTCACTCATCACGTGACATCTTCAAAATCCGGGGGAGAAAAAAAAAAGAAGCAAAAAAAAGCGACTTTTTGTAGAGGCAAAAAAAGCGACGAAGTAAATAAATTAATTATTGCGCATTTTCATGTTCGGGAACTTTTTGCGGACTGCAAGGCCGAGACCGGTCGGTTTCATTGCGCGGGTTGAACATGTTTTGGTGGCGGGTTGCTCCTCCGTATAAAAGTTGCTGGGCTGGTGGCCACTTTCTCTAGCAACAAACTCCATCTTACAGCATCTCTATATCTCTTCATCTTCCTCTCTTCCTCTTCATTCTCTTCGTCTCGTCATCGGTCCCTCTTTTCTCTCCCTCTCCTCAATCTATGTCGCCGCATTACCTCTATATGCGATATAGATATCTACATTCCCTCCCTTAATCCCGCGTAGACGACGAGAAGAGCCATCGTGTCGTTACACTCTGGCAGGCGGCGAAGGCTTGTGAAGATGGTTGATGGAGGTTTCGGCCGTCTCAAGAACAAGTTAAGGGAACATTTCAATCATGAGGTTAGTCGCTAGCAAATGTCTCTACGTGGATTGCTGTGCTCTCGTTGTTTGCGGCTGTTTCTGTTTCGGCTCGTTTGCTTAGCCGGTGTTTGATATAAGCTTGCACGACATGCTTGCTGGCTGCCAAACCGCCTCGTCTTGTTTGAACGGAAGAGATGTAAGACGGTGCCAGTATATATCATTCACGGCAAGCCAAGTCATGGTCTCGCGGAAATTCCTGGCTGTCTGCTTTAACTATCTGCTTGTGTTTTTGCTGTTGCGGTGCCTCTCGTTGGCATGGCTTTATATCAGAGATTTGCCCGTCAGTTGTACAGGTATATAAATGCTAACATGTTCAAGGGTCCGGATGATATCTATCTGACCTGTAAGTGATACAGTCGGACTTTTACGGGTGTGGTTGCTGTGACAGATTTTACTGACCATGAGTGCTTCTCAAGACTACGATGCAAGCAGTGAGTGATCTTTCTCCTATTTTCCGGATATCTTCCTACTAACACACTGTATAGTCACATATGAAGATTATAATACGCTCAAGTCGGACTGGCTGACGGACAACGTGATTGGGTTCTGGGAGGAGTATGCTCTCTTTATATGTCGGCAATCTAGACCAATATTTTTACTGACTTATTCCGCAGATATTTGGAGCATGAATTGCTTTCATTCTACAAGACTCGCATCATCCTCCTTCGGCCTAGCATGTCATTTCTCCTGTTCCAGACTCCGGACCCAAAGACACTGGGCAACGCTTTACCTGATTTCAATCGTGCTTCTCACATTTTTCTACCCATCAACGACTGTCAAAATGGCATGCAGGCCGAAGGCGGCACTCACTGGTCTCTGCTGCTTGTCTCCCTCGCGGACCAAGTAGCTTTCCACTATGACTCCCTGCCACCTGGAAACATTACCGAGGCACACGCGGTTACGGAAAAGATCAGCATCATCTGCGAAAAGCCCATCAAATTCATGCAGATGCCTGATTGCCCCGTACAACAAAACAACAATGACTGCGGAGTATTCGTCTGCATGATGATGAGATATCTCCTTCAGCATCGGCTCCTGCAAGCAAATTCGAAGGAATACATCACCATGGCCCTAGACGGTGTTCCGCTCGACCCGGCCGAGGCACGCAAGGAAATAGTGCAGATTATCCATCAGTTAAAGAGGGACAGAGATCGGAGAAGATCGTACGTAACTTCATCCGCTGATCCTGCTGCTGCATCGCGCATATTTGCAAAGCCTCACTCCATCATTGCCCGCACCCAATCTTCCCCTGCCCACCGCACCCCCGCTACTGCTTCCTCCACAGGCTCCCTTGCCTCAACTCGCCCTCGCCACTCCAGAGTGTCTTTGTTTACTTATTTCGCTATCTGTGCCTCTGTCATTGTTTTGATCGCGGCTGCTCTTGCCTTCTACCTCCCTGATATCAACATGACGTCTCTTTACCACGGCTACACACACATTCAGCCTCCTGTTTGTGGCGAATATTGTCACAAACTCGACTCTGCTCTTTCCTCGGCCCGTTCTCAGCTCTCCCCCTATCTTTTGCAAATGCACGAACAATTGAATGAGCTTCATGACTTTGGGAGGGAGTACTTTGCTAAGGTGTATGATGCGTTCTCCCGCTTGAGAAGAATATAGGTCGAGCAGCAAGCGAAAACCTAAGCCTCCGTCGCCCGAAAGTCCTCTAAAGAAAAAGATGAAGCTTGCTATCGGGCTTGAAGATTAGACTACTACTACTAATCGGGACTACAGATGTTCTTCTGAAATACTCTGTTGCCTTTCTCTGCATTGATTTTGTTTTTATAGTTAGCCTTTGATAGATGCACCTCGTTATGCGCATCTAAGCAAGCCAGTGATACCACTACAGTTAACTAGCGTTTGATATATCCTAATATTCCCCTTTTGCACTCAGTTTTCTCGTGTGAAGACGAAGTAATGAGTTACGCGGCATGCGGTCTGGAAAAATACGTTGCATAATATTGGATATCCGGGTAATTTCTAATGGCGGCTGGATCGCCGAGCCTAGCCAACTAACTAATATTTAATTTCTCCAGCTAGCTAATTAATTGATTAATTAATTAATCTATGCAACAACATTGTGCATTTACAATAAGGAATGATGCGGTTACATAGAGCTCACTCAGTAAGTACAGATCAAAAATGTAAATAATATGGAACGTGGCTCTAAGCAATTGCAGTGCTCGGTCAAAAGCCGGCTGTTCTCAACCAGCGCGGCGCTATATCGGCAAAACCGCATCCCAGCCTCATATTACCGCGGCGGAACTTCAAGAGGACTGATATTCCAGAAGAAAGACCTGCCTGCATCTCAAGATGACTGGAAGCCCATCTTGCTGGGCACCATGGGCTCTCCGGACCCTCATGGCCGCCAACTTGACGGGCTTGGGGGCGGCTTGTCCAGTCTATCAAAAGTCTGCATCATATCGCCAGCATCAGACCTGAGTCGGGCCCAGGGAGCCCAGGTGGACTTCACCTTTGCTCAAGTCGGCATTAAATCAACTGATATCGACTACTCCGGAAACTGCGGGAATCTGTCCAGTGCCGTGGGCCCGTTTGCCATCGACGCGGGACTGGTTAAATTGGACGAAGAGGAGCTCAGCGCCGGTAAAAGGACAGCTACCGTTCGCATATTCAATACAAATACCCAGAAAATAATCGATTCTACATTCCCCATATGCATTTCACCTGACGGAAGCGTCGAGGCCGAAGCTAGTGGTGACTTTACTGTGGACGGCGTGGCTGGATCCGCATCAAGGATCCAACTCGACTTTATCAGTCCGGCTGGAGCTAAGACGGGAAAATTACTGCCTACAGGGAACTTGATTGATACCTTTGACGGTGTCCGAGCAACGTGCATCGATGTCGGGAATCCGATGATTTTCGTCCCGGCTTCTGACCTACCGGTTGACGGGAAGATATCTCCGGACCAGATATCTTCTACACCTGGTCTACTTGAGCGGCTAGAGAAAATAAGATCCCAGGCTGCAATTAATATGGGCATGGCAACGACAGTAGATGAAGTTCCGGCGTCTATACCGAAGATCAATATTATTTCTACGCCTGACGAGGAGGGTGTTGACATCAGTGCCAGGACTATCTCTGTTGGCCAGCCGCACAAGGCTCTCCCATCACTGCCGGGCTTAGCCTTGCAGTGGCTACAAAACTTGAAGGGTCAATTGTGAGGCCGTTTGTCTCGAAGACGAATAAAGCTGCTGGGGATCCTGTTGTTATAGGCCATCCTGGGGGCACATTGGCCGTCGGTGCGGAGATCAAGGATGGCGATAGTAAAGTGGTTGAAAGAGCCACGGTGTATAGATCCGCCAGGCGGTTGATGGATGGCCTTGTATATTGGAAATGATATTTGATACATTACAGCTAGGCTAGAGCCGTCAAATAAATAGATTTTACATAAAGGACGGGAACTTATGGAGGAAAGGAAGAAAGGAGAGCGAGAGTCATAGTGGCCTTAGGTCATGGATGCCCTGGTCATAGAAAGAGGGGGTGATGCTAGTCGATAACGGCTGCATTCTAACAAAGAGATCCTTATCTTAGTACTAAAAAGACTTTTTGTATAGAAGATGTAGATAGAGGCTGTTTCTATCGTCTGTGCAGTGACAGAGGGTATAAACACTGCACAAGAGCTGTCCTAGCTTATACTACGTATATATTGCTTACCCTACAAAAGCAACCTGCATTTTCCATATAGAGTGGTTGATGAGCCTGGTGCATTGTATATTTTGGATTGAACGGTATCACTGAGCACCAAGAGTTACAGGTAGTCCACGGAACAGGCTGAGGGTGTTGGCTCCTTTTCGAGTACAAAGACGCATCGACAACCCAGAGTATTGACAACTATCAGTTTGGGACAGGTGGCCGGGGTATGATGTTGTGATAACGGCTTTCAACCTATATCACTGGAATACATATAGCATGATGGCGGAAATTAACTAAGCCACATCAGTGTGTGAGCTTTGGTGTAAACACAAGGGTAACGGCTGAAGCATAGAAGGGGCAAAATTGCTATCAATTAGCCAAATCCAATTAATATATATACTTATAGTGGTTTCCGCTAGGAGACACGGCTACATATGACTATGTGTCAGTGGAAGTCTGTACCCTCTAAAACAGCAAGGAGCTGTAGGCTGGGTCGTGGAAAAGTGTACGGATTACAACATGCACAATATAACTAATGGATACGACTGATTTGTGTTTAGATCAGCTCCAGTAACTACACTGGCCAAATTCTTAGAGCAGTTGACGGCCATCAGAGAGGTTCACCCTGATAAGATACTTACTATCTAGTTCAATATTAACCAGTTGCCGACAATAGTGCCAATGTAGTTTGATTAAGGAACTATTCGTACTTAGTTAAAAGGATCAGTGTCTTATCACCGGCAACTCGCTGTCAAATTGACGGCGGCAGAAGCAGATATGATTGGTTAGTTATTTATAGAATTTGCAGCACTAACTAACCCGAATGCCAAGTCCAACCTGGAGAAGAAAATGATGCAGTTATAGGCCAATCATAAGTTTGGATTTCATATTAGACTTTAATATTTCTGTTTATTTTATTGGTTGATACAAAGTGAGTTTGATATTTCAATCGCATGCCAAGTATTGATGACAAAGCATGACTAACTACTTGATCCATAAATGGTTGTGACTCCAGCCCAATACTAGTCAGACCATCACATTCGCACAAACAGTACGAAGGCTTTCTTCCAAACCTAGTACTGCTTGTCGAAACAAATCATGGATTCTACATCTCTTCAGGGCCTCGAAGCCCTTCTTCAGTTCCTGGAAGTCTCAACCCCGATACCACAGCTGCCCCGCGCAAACGTTATCTCTACTCCAACAGACATCTATCGCTCCTACATTGCGGAGATAATACAAAAGCTGGTTTAATGTGATGAAGATACCGCGTCAGTGGGCTAATGCGGCAATCAACGCCGATTTGATGCTTATAACTGCACGTTTGAAGGTGAAAGGAGTTAATCCCAAGCAACTGGCCCAGGATATCGCGTCAAAGGTATAGTCATTGCTATTGAATTTACGTCTTCGCTATGCCAATGAAAGACTATATAGCTAATAACTGCTACTTATGACTAGTTTCCATCCACCCCGCTTCTAACCCCACCAATTGCCAATGGGATATTCATTCCCATCTCCTTCTCCCCTGCCACGCTACCAAATTTGATATTACCTTTTATTTTTCGACCGCCGAGGTTCATATGGGTCAAACCAGTTTCAAGGACGAGCTTGTTCATTGACCTCCTTCTCCGGCGCGAACAAAGAGTTAATCTTTGCGTATATTTCAAGGAGGTGCTTCAACGGCTCCTTTGCAAAAAGCTCTTCAGATCCAAATCTCTGCCAGCCTACTGCAAGTAGACCAAACTGTTTCCCCCAGTCGCCTAGGTAGTTCACTTTGACTACATCCCAGCCCATACTCTCGTACAGGTTAGAAATGTATGCCCCAATTATCGTGCTGCGTAAATGACCAGCATGGAATTCCTTTGCGATGTTTGGAGACGAGAACTCAACAATGACCTTTTTCTTGCCGGAGCTCTGGTCTTTGGCATCACGGAGGATAGAGGAGAAGATAAATCTGAGATTGAGAGCAAGGGTCTCTTTGCTGAGAGAAACGCATTCTTCCAGAAAATGGAGGATGAGGATGCCGAAGCTATTACACTATGGAAACGGTTTCGTGATGTCAGTATCGAGCGGTATATCTCTACCTATGCTCGCCTCAATATTAAGTTTGATGCTTACTCTGGGGAGTCAACTGTGAAAGCATCGACGGTCGAGAAGGCCGAGTCACTTCTCAAAGAAAAGGGCGTCTACACTGAAGATAACGGCACTTGGATTATTGACTTCAAGAAGCACGGTGCTCCTAATCTTGGAGTTGCAGTTGCTAGAACACGAATCGGCACTACAACTTACTTACTCCGTGATATCGCAGCTGCCTTGGAAAGAGTTGAGAAGTATCAGTTTGATAAAATGATCTATGTTGTTTCTACAGAGCAAGATCTATATTTCCAACGCCTCTTCAAGACCATTGAACTCATGAGTTACACTGATGTGGCGGCCAAACTTGAGCATGTCAACTTTGGAAAAGTCATGGGGATGTCATCACGACTCAGCACTGTGAAAATATTGAGTGATATCTTAGATGAGTGTGGTAGCGCTATGCACGACGTCATGCGAAAAAACCCCACCAAGTATGAACAAATTGAGAACCCCACCGAAGTTTCAGATACTCTTGGAATCACTGCAGTTATGGTTCAGGACATGACAGGGAAAAGAATACATAACTATACTTTTGACATCGCTAAGATGACCTCCTTTGAAGGCGACACAGGCCCCTATCTTCAATACGCCCATGCAAGACTTTGTTCAATCGTTCGAAAAGTTGACATTGATCCGAAGGAGATTACAAATGCCAATTTTTCCCTCTTAAAGGAGCAGCATGCCATTAACATCCTTCGTCTGATGGCACAGGTTACATCCAATGCCGTGAAAACACTAGAGCCAACCACCATTCTGACATATCTTTTCCGATTGGCACATCAGATCTCCTCAGGGTACGATGTAATTAAGGTGATTGGTGCCGAAAGCCACGACGTCACCGTCGCTCGTCTAGCTTTGTATGAAGGAGCTCGACAGGTACTGAAAAATGGAATGCGCCTTCTGGGCTTCACCCCCGTCAAACGGTATGAACATCCCTCAAGTACATTCAAGTTTTGCATGAACTTTCTAACTAGTCACAGGATGTAACAAAGCCTGGCATTGATGTCTTAGAGCCATTGATTCATCAATGTTCAATGGGTTTATCCCCTGGAGCAGTGCCTAAGCCGCGCCATCGACTAGGTTTATCTACGAGTTTAGTGAATTCACAACCAACTGGTTATTCTAGCATAGCCTCATTTGAAGAGTGGGTCAAACCGCCCCACTTATATGAACTTTGATGGTTGTCGGCGCTTAGAAAGTTCGTATGATGCCAGTTAGGTTTCTTCTCCAAGGTCCTAAATTCTATATAAGTTGGCATGTTTCCCATGGAGTCCGCAATTCATATCCAGCCATCATCCAGCTTTTGAATCGTCCTCTATCTCATTATTACTTTTCTTCAACCATCATATCTTTCTGCCCCGGTTCCAACCCATCCTTACATTATGTGCACCGAAATCAAAACCGGTTGCCGTGGAACTGGCAAATTTCTTTGGTGTTAGAATTGACCGGTGCTATGACCGCAAGTATGTCACAATTGGCCCCTAGCTCGGCGAAAGTATTTTTCTAATACTAAAGTAGGGCTTACGGCACTTGCGGTGGGAAGTGACCTCAAAACGAATCCCGTGGTGGATGCACTGAAATTATCCCCGGTCAGGAGAGGGTTATGAGCCGAAGCACCAGCCGAGGAGCTATCTTCCAGGACGTGTACTTCGGACTCTGCAATGGGCAATACCGCAATGCTCAGGGTGGTCGTCTTGCCTAAACCCTTGTGATATTGCTAGTAACTTAGTTAACTAAGTCCTTGCTTGATTACAGGAGCAGTTCCAAGAAGACTAACTCAATCTAGCCATTTCCTGTCGTCCAATGCGTGTCACTAGGGTCTTCTCAACTGGATAGCGGAGTTTGATAGAGCTTAACTAGTTACATGTTCTGCTGGCTGGCCAGTTAGTGACTAGTTAAAAGGACAAGCAAACTGTGATATAGTAGAACTGTCCCTCTATCATTGCCTTATTGTTACTTGATGTCCGATGAATGTGCAGGTCACAAAATACATAACCCATGTTTACTGAATGATTCTTTTCTTTTACCTCTTGGACAGAAGCCTTGTATTCTGGTTTGAGTATCCAAAGAATAGCCATGTATCTACATCTCGTTTAGCTTAGATTGATATGCCCACGGTATTTCTGGCCCAAATTCCTTACATAGCATGAAGGGGCATATGATTCGAATATCTTTCCTTTGTTGTAGGATGTAGATTGCCCACACCAACGCATCCCAAAGCCACCCCATGGTGTTTTATCTACAACCGGGTCCCCTACACAGCTTTTCAAGTAATGCATGCCTTTTTCATGGGGTATACAGGGTCGAGATAGGTATAATGGGTGTTTTAGGGCCACTTTATGGAAAATTTTCAACCACGAGCAATCAGCATGAAAGTACTACCATTCTAACCGCCGTCTCTGGTAGATAGTGTGGGATGTGTCAATTTTCCAAAAAGGGTTGTGTCTGGGTGTCGGGTCGTAGGGTGCAGAGTGGGTGTAATCCCTATCAACCGGTTATATCTCCTCCACCACGAACGGTAGAATAATCCTACCTGACTCCTAGTATCCTGCCTTTGTTTTGATATACCCGTAGCCTTAGTTTTCGGTAGTATCAACCTCGCTGTGGTTGTATAGAGGGTCGTCGTAGGTCAATGTTGATAAACAAACCAGCCCCTATTTTTCAACACAACAAGCATGTAGCAGCCTGTAAGCCTGTAGATACCAACTGTAAATGCCTACAAAGAATTGAAGAGACGCTCTCAGCCAGGAATTCTCGCTGTCTCTGCGTCGCTTCCTGCGCTGCGCTGGTGGAAGGAATACGTACGACGCACAGGCCTTGTTACGTCCGTTTTGGCGAAACGGAAAGCGAAGATGGAAAAAGACGCAGAGACGCTTCGAGGGAACTGAGAAGTCCATCTGCGGCTGTTTATCATGCACTACAACTTCGATTCTATGTTGCATGGGGCGACCTCGCCGCCGCTTGGTCTGTTGTTTACCAGTCCCAGAGCACATCTGACAGCACCACAACCAGCGCTCGAGGGGGCCTGAAATTGGTCACAAACTGGAGGCAGAGAAGAGACAAGTCTGTGGATGCCAATTTTCAACCGCCCTCAACGCCCTTTTCCCCGTCTACGTGAAGGGACGCTATCCAAGCCTGATTTCGCCCCCTGCCGGATGGATGACCGCTCACAACCCATGATACCCGGGCAAAAATGGTACCATCCGACTCGTCTCGTAGAGCTGATTCCAAATCTGCCCTCATATGCCAAAATTACATCCGGAGCTCAGGTCGCTTTCAGGATATCTGCCCTGCCCACCTATCCCATGATACCCCCAATACAGCCTCCAGAGTCCGTAATTTTCGCTCAGAAAAGTGGGAGGCACCTTCCCCAGCGCTAGATTTGCCTCCAAAACAACCAAATAGAGCAATATATCCTGCCTAGATAGGGAATTTTGGGCCGTCTCTCCTTCTCTTTTCTGAGCTGCTCCTGCTCAAAACCATGCAGAATTGCCTGTTGAAGAAGGACCTGGAGCCGCCGGACGGGTATATTGATTCTCTCCCGGCCCAAATGCGCCGTCTTTTTTTCTCTTTTCTTTCCCTCACGCTTGCGTCTTCTGCTGACTACTGCTCGTACGAACGTACTGCTAGTGCTCACGCTGATACTCTTGCTGCTCCTGCTGCTCTCTTGCTTGCCTCGGCTCGATTCTCTCTTCTCTTCTCCAACTCCCTCCTATCTCCGGCGGTCGCCCGACCACCCTCTAACCTCCGACTTTTCCTTGCTGTCTTCTGTTTTTTTTGCCCCTGTTCACCATGCTGTTCGTGTTGTCTGTTGCTGGTCTTCTTGCTGTTTTTCTCTACTACGTGGGCCGTTGTCAGGCTGATGAGCGCATCCGTGCCATCGAGTACCAACAACGGCTCAGAAAGGTACGTCCCGTTTCTTCTGACCGTGTCCGCTGCTGGCCCTCCCGTCGTCGTCGTCGCCGTCTGTTCTGCCGTGTTCGCTCCCCTGTAGTAGAGCAGGTTGCTGTAGAGCTTCCAGCTACCCCCTCCCCTGTGTCCTCTGCTTCTTCTTCCCCATTTCTTTTG